GTCCGTTCTGCTCCATGCTCCCCTTGGGGTTCTGGTCACATGCATGTCCAGTGTGTCCTTGAAGGTGTCGGGCTCAGGATGCAAGCTGCGGCTTTGGTCACGTGGGGTCAGCCGCCCTAGCTTCCCGCCACCTGCTGTCCCCCTTCTTTTTTCTTTTTAGAGAGTCAGGGTGTGTGTGTGTGTGTGTGTGTGTGTGTGTGTGTGTGTGTTTTATTTTTTCTATAGTGTGCATGCGCTCACCAGAGACAGAGAAAGCAAAAGTCCTCAATCCCTTCACCTTCATTCTCTCAGGATTTGGGGCGCGCACGCTCACGCCCGATGTGAGGTTTAAGCCACTGGGTCCAGGACTCAGTCGAATACATGGGAGTCCAGTGACATAATCATTTCACCATCTGCCCCCTGCTGCACTTTCAACCTGTCACACCACTGCCTTCTGGGCTGGTTTCTCATCGGAGACCACGCAGCCCAGAAGGCGGCCAGCCGCAGTCCCTTCTCCACTCTCCTCTCAGGGCCTGGGGCACGCACACACGCCCGGCACGAGGGCTCTTTTTCTGGATCAGCCTGTCCTCCAAGGTCCTCCTTTGCCTTTGCAGTTTGATTTTGAAGTGTCCGAGTGTGAGTCTTCTTGAGTTGATTCTACTGAGAGTTTAACTTTCTAGGTTTTTAATCAGTTTGGCAGGTTTTTGGACTTTTCTCTGCATGCTTTCTCTGTCCTTTCTCCTGAGATTCCTGTGAGGCGTGGCCGTGCCTTCGGCGGTCCCCACAGGTGCCCACGGCCCCGCGCTGTTCCCTGCCGCGGCCCGCACGGTGCTCTCAGTGACCTCCTCCTAAGTGCTGCTTCCCCTCTTTCACCTGCTCACGTCTTTTCTTGAGCCCCTCTGGTGAATTTTAAATCAAGGTATTGTGCCTTTCAACTCCAGAATTTTTAAAGGATTATTTTATTTAACTTTATTTATTTGTGAATGAACGAGAGAGAGGGGACCTGAGAAAGCAAGCCGCCAGGTCCAGGACTCGAACTGCACTCGGCCATGTGGGAGTCCAGCACCCTTCACCGCCATGCCACCTGCGGCCCCATCAACTCCAGAATTTGCCGTGTGCCTTACCATGTTTATTTTTCCACGGGCAGTCCGTTTGGTGAGGTACTCCCTCCCGTTAGTTCCTGGAGTGCGTTTGAGATAGCCGGCTTAGAGTTCTGTCTAGGAAGCCGAATGCCTGGGCCGCTCAGGAACACTTCCTAGTGGTTGTCTTTTTCCTGTGTGTGAAATGTTTTTTCCTGTCTCCATTTTTTTCGTTTAAAGAAATATTTAATGTAAAACTAAATTAAAATTAGGGGCTACCAGGTGGTATATTGCTTAAACCATTGGACTCCCACGTAACTGACTATGGGTCAAGACGCAGACCCGGTAGCTTGAAACTCACTGGACGCGTGTGTGTGTGCCCAAAATCCCTACAGGAGAATGGGGAAGGGGTTGTGGCGTGGCCACCCCAGGAGGACTGATTTCTCGCTTTCTGTCTGTACTGCAAGCACATGCATACATGCTATGGCAAAAATCCTTTAAAATTTTTAACTTAGGAACTAATAGTTGGTGTAATGGCTATGTCACTAGACTCCCATGTAGTCGACTGTGGTTCAAGTCCTGGAGCCAGTGGCTTAAACTCACACTTGGCACATATGTGCGCGTGCCCAAGATCCCGAGAAGAGAATGGAGGAGAAGGGATTGTGGCGTGGCCATCCCCCCTGGGAGGTGATTTCTCGCTTTCTGTCTTTCTCTTTCTGGTGAGAGCACATGCCCTATTTCAAAAACCTCACCCACCAAAAATTTTTAACTTAAACATTTTTTACAAATTTATTTATTTATTTAATTCTACTTGTTGTTCTTGTTATTATTTTTTAATTTGACCAGAGAGAGAGAGAAGGAAAGCGAGAAAGCAAGCTGCCAGATCCAGGACTCGAACCGTAGTCAGCCATGTGGGAGTCCAGCACCTTAACTACCACACCATCTGCTGGCCCCTGATTTAACATTTTAAATTTGATTTTAATTAGTGTCACTGGCAACTTTGGAGATCAGAGTTGCCCCTCCCACCCAGCGTCTGTCTCTCTTTTGCTGTCGCTGTTTGGTGACTTGCTGCTTGTCATCTCTGTGTTGTCCAGCTAACCTCATCAGGTGGGAATGGGCATAAATTCTTTTTTTTTTTAAAGAATTATTTTATTTTATTTATTATCACTATTGTTTAATTTGACCAGACAGAGAGAAAGGGAAAGTAGGAAAGCAAGTCTCCAGGTCCGGGACTCAACCCATGGTGGGCCCTGTGGGAGTCAGCGCCTTCACCACCACGCCACCTGCCAGCCCCCAGAAACTCTCTTAAAAGCCTGGAGCCAGGGAGTCTCCCCGTCTCTCTGGAGGACTGCATGTTGGCTCACCTTCCACGCTCGGCCAGGCGGCTGACAGCCTCCCCACCTTCCCACCCTGCTCACGCAGAGCCTGGAGGGTTGGCTGACGCACGAGCTTTGGGCTTTTCCTTCCTGAGCAGCGCTCTAGATTCCCAGGATGGTGCAGTGCTGCAAAGATCCTTCCGTCCTCGGCCTTTTCTTCTCAGGTGTCTAGTTAGTCTGTAGCAGGGGTCCCCCCAATCCTGGGCCGTGACGGGCCGCCGGGGCAGGCAGCAGTGCTGGATCGCGGGGCGCTGACCTTATGGCACTGTGACTGCTTCATCAGACTGCAGTGTGGTGGATGGGTGTGCCTGGGCCATCCCAGGACCAGCCGCCATCCCCCGGGGGAGGGACTGTCTTCTAGAGGGGTGTCCACCGTGAGGCACAGCCACACTGTTAAAGCTGCCCCTAGATGTTTCAGCCAGTGTTCCGAAGGAAAAGGCTTTTTTTGAGAGAGATTTTTGACAGAGGGCGTGTGCATTTACCAGAGACAGATAAAATCCCCCCGGGGGGTGCCCACGCTGCAGTCCCCTCTCCTGGGATCTTGAGCACGCTGTGCACATGTGCCCAGCATGAGTTTGAAGTGCCAGGTCCAGAACGCAAACTACAGTCAGCCACATGGGAGTCCAGGGCCCCAACCACTGTGCCGCATGCTGCCCCCAAGGGAAAGGCCTTTCGTAACTGGGCAAGCTCAAGTCAGATCACAGACTTGCGAGTGGAGTCCCACGGGAACTGCTCAGCAGGTCAGCACTGGCAGTTCTTGGGGAGGAGCCTGGAAACCCGCAGCCCCACCTGCCCGGTAGCTGCCAGGGTTCTGCTTCCCTCTGTGGTCACACTGCAGCCCTCAAGGCCACCACAGGTGAAGTGGCAATAACACAAGTTAAAATGCTACAAAGCCGGACCAGCAGTTGGAATGATGGCTATGTCGCTGGACTCCCATGTAATCAGCCGTGGTTTGAGTCCCAGACCCGGTGGTTTAAACTCACGCCGGGCACGTGCGTGTGTGTGCCCAAGATCCCAAGAGGAGAATGGGTTCTTGAAAAGGGATTATAGTGTGGATGTCCTCCCGGGGGTGATTTCTCACTTTCTGTCTCTCTCTGTCTTTCTGGCAAACACATGTACAAAAACCCCTCCCCCAAAAAAAAATTGCTATAAAGCAGGCCAGCCAGTGGCATGGTGGTTGAGGCAGCTGGACCCCATGTGTCCAACTGTGTGGTTAAAGTCCTGGACCCAGCAGCTTGAGAAACATGCTGGGCACATGTGTGCATGCCCATAATCCTGTGCGGGATCACAGCATGGCTGTCCCCCAGGGGTGCTTTCTCACGCCCTCGCTCTCTGTCTCTGGTGAGCACACACACCGTATAGCCAGTGAGCTTGTTCCGAAGCTCACTGTTCCTGGCTTCATCCGCCTTTCTTGAGTTAAACACAACCTGCAGTGCTGTAGCTCTGGTTAACCTGCAGAGTCTGAAAAAGGTGGTTCTCGAGACCAGCAGGTGGTGGAATGGCTATGTCACTGGGCTCCCACGTAGTCGACCGTGGTTCACGTCCCGGACCCGGTGGCTTAGAACTCACGCCAGGCGCATGTGCGTGTGTGCCCAAGATCCCGAAAGGAGAATAGAGGAGAAGGGACTGTGGTGTGGCCATCCCCCCTCGGTTTCTGTCTCTGTCTTTATCTATTCGGCCAGCGCGTGCACCCTATCAAAAAAACTCTTTAAAAAAAAATGGCGGGGGAACCAGCAGTTAGCATAATGGCTATGTCGCTGGACTCCCACGTAGTCGACCGCGGTTCACGTCCCGGACCCGGTGGCTTAGAACTCACGCCGGGCGCATGTGCGTGTGTGCCCAAGATCCCGAGAGAATGGAGGAGAAGGGATTGCGGTGTGACCATCCCCCCTGGGGGGTGATTTCTCGCTTTCTGTCTCTATGTCTCTCTCTGTCTGGCAAGCGCACACGCCCTAAAAAAAAAAAAATGGTGGTTCCTCCACACTCCTCCTCCTGTCTCCATTCTCACGCTTCCCATGTTTGCATTCGTGTGAATATTCATTTGTAGGGGGAGGGGTTCTCGTCCAGCACCGCAAGGGCTGTCCTGGCCCGTCTCTGTCTGTAACTGTCTGTCCCTAACTCCCTTCTCAGGACAGGGAAAGGCCTGCCCCTGCTGTCCCTGACCCTGGGCCCTCCACCCTGCAGCCCCTCTGAGCCATGTGGCAAACACACGCCACCAGGTGGCCTCTCTCGTGGTCTGGACTGAGCTCAGGAAGAGCCCGGCGAAGCGGGCATGGGCGATGTCTGATGGCCTCCAGTCTGGTGGGCCAGGAGTGCCTCCATCCTGAGTAGCTGCATCCTCCTGCAGAGTGACAGGACGAGGCAGGCTGGTCTACTCGTAGGACCTTGTGTGATGACAGCTAGAGCGTCCCAGAGCATGGCTGGGCACGCGGGGGTTTCATGGTCAGCTCGGCCTCCGGGGCCCTTGGGGAGCCCTGTCTGGTGGCCAGCTCTTCTGGCCCGACAGGGAAGGTGCTCTCCACCAGGGGACTACGGCTCTGCAGTGATGGCTCATGTCTCCTGACAGAGCGGGAACAGCTTCCACGTGTTCGACCAGGGCCAGTTCGCCAAGGCGGTACTGCCCAAGTACTTCAAGCACAGCAACATGGCCAGCTTCGTCCGGCAGCTCAACATGTGTGAGTGGGCACATCGGGGACCTGCAGTGGGCCGGCAGAACCAGGCTGGGGGGCACCCGCAGGCACCTGGCCCCCGGCCCGTAGGCAGATCTGCCCCACCTCTATTGCCATAGATGGCTTCCGGAAGGTCGTCCACATTGAGCAGGGGGGCCTGGTGAAGCCTGAGAGGGACGACACCGAGTTCCAGCACCCCTGCTTCCTGCGCGGCCAGGAACAGCTCCTGGAGAACATCAAGAGGAAAGTGACCAGCGTGAGTTGGCTCCCGGGCCCTCTGCACCCTGCCCCGACCCACCCTGCCCCACCCCAGCCCTCACTGGTCCTGCCCTGCCCTGGCGCAGGTGTCCACCCTGAAGAGTGAGGACATAAAGATCCGCCAGGACAGCGTCACGAAGCTGCTGACGGACGTGCAGCTGATGAAGGGCAAGCAGGAGTGCATGGACTCCAAGCTGCTGGCCATGAAGCAGTAGGTGGCGCTGCTGCAGGCTGGCACACCAGGCCAGGTGGCGGCCGGCGGCCTTGCTCCCTCCCTCCCGCTGTCCTCCCCTCCTCCCAGGGCCTAGTAGCAGAGAATACCCAGGGTCTCTCCAGCTCAGACTCCGGGGACCTGGCCTGGGACTGAGGTCACGCTGAGGCACAGCCGCCCCGGAGCTGGTGAAGCCAGGGCCAAGTTTATGCTAAGACAGGCAGCAGCATGGCCACACTGCCCCCGAGTAGGTGTGGTGTGGGCTCACACTCATGGCCTGGTGAGGGCCCAGCAGCCTGCAAGTTCCCGGACACCACGCTCTGCTCTGCAGCTCGGCGTGGGCCTCCTCATCCTGGAGCCGGGTCCTTTAGGCCTCAGTGGGGACAAAGGTGGCTGGGAGGGGGCCAAGACTCAAGGTCTGCCCCAGACCATGCCCATGAGGCTCCAGGAACCCCATATCCTCTCAAGCAGTCCTTGATGCACAGCAGAGCTGGTGGCAGTGGCAGCACACCCCACTGGCCTCCCAGCCTGTCCTCCCCGGGAGCCGCAGCCCCAGCCAGGCCTGTGCCTGGAGGGCCAGGGCTTCTGCCGAGCTCTTGCTTCTGGGCTCCTGCACTTCCTGGGCCAGCCCTGACCCAGCCTGGTGTGTTGCAGTGAGAACGAGGCTCTGTGGCGGGAGGTGGCCAGCTTGCGGCAGAAGCACGCCCAACAGCAGAAAGTCGTCAACAAGGTGGGGGCGGCCTACGGCGGGGCAGGGCCGGGGTGCCCCCCACT